GACTCGGCCATTTTCAGGAGCCGCGGATCATTCCCACGCACTCAAAATCATCATTTACATTTGTGTGAATGATCATTTCCATGAAAAACCCTTTCGTTTGTGTTTTGAGCCTCCTATGCACTCATTTCACTTTTTTGTTGAAAAACTCGGCCTAAGGGATTTTTGGGAATTTCCTTTGGGAAATAAATTCCATTCTTGACTCTATCAAATAGAAAATATGATTTTAAGGGGGGTTTCTTCATGACATTTTTCCGAAAAATGTCATCTTGATCTCAAAAATCGTGCTCCAAACTCATTTTTCAGCTAAAACACTGTTTTTGCTGCATTTTTAGCATTTTGTTCAAGTTGAACCGGTTCAAGAATAGTTGAACCGGTTCAAGGTGTCATTCTGGTTCAACTTGGGCATGCTGCCAATGTTGAACCAGTTCAAGAAATGTTGAACCGGTTCAAGTCTTCCAAAGATTTCAACTTTGGCCTTCCAACTTCAAACTGATGTAACTTCTTCGTTTCAACTTAGAATTGGTCCATTCTTGAGTCTAAACTGACCGTGTCGAAGTAAGCTTTCCAATGGTACCAATTTCAGCTTTAGATTCTTTTCTTAGCTCAAGATATCATCATTTTAGTGAGAGGGTGTCGGATTTGGTTCGAACCGGGATAGGGTTCTTTTGAGATTTCTCTTCCTTTGGCGTTGGGACTTCATGTGAAGTTGCCAAAGGTTGTTTTTGAATGTTTTTGATCTCATTTGACTTGTTGGTAGTCAAATTCCTTCCTCTTATGGTAAAATGACCATTTTACCCTTACTCTTTCCTTCGGTAGGGTTTTCATACCCTTATCTTTGTTTTGCTTCCGCACTTTGTTCCTTTGGGTTCTGTAACCTCATGGAAGGTTATCAAAGGGTCTTAGAGGTGTGTTATGCCTTGGGAGATCATTGTCTTGTTTCTTGCTTCCGTATCTAGATCCATTAATGGATCAACCTTCGGTTCATCACTGTAGTACCGGGTTGAATCAAAACCCAGGTCGTTACACTCTCCCCTCTGTTGTTTACTTTGGTTACAGAGCACCTTTCTTCTATTATTAACAATGCGTTTCAAAGGAATGATGTTTCAGTTACACATGCTGCTGCTCAAACTCAACCTGTATTGAACCATGTCTTCTTTGCTGATAACCTGTTGATTACATGTAAAGCTTCTATCTCCAATGCTAAAGCTTTAGATGGTTTATTTAAAAAGTTTGAGAAGTTACAGGGTTACAAGTCAGTCAACAAAAGAGCTCTACAATTTTTTCTAGAGCAGTTAGAAGGAAATCAACAATGCTTAGAGTTCTGAAATGCTCTGAAGAACAATTACCAATTAAATATTTGGGGTTGCCTCTTAGACCTTATAGATTAAAGAAAGCGAATTGTCAATCGTTAATTGATAAAATTTCAAGAAAGATTAATTACTGGTGCACTAGATTGCTCTCCATTGCTGGTAAAGTGGAACTTGTTCGTTCCACCATCAATCCTATATTTTTGTATTGGTGTAGTATTTACAATGTTCCAGTTTTTGTGATCAACCAATTGCAAAAAATGTGCAGAAACTTTATTTGGGGTAGTACTGATCACTCCAAAAAAATTCATCTCATGAGTTGGGATAAAATTACTAGCGACAAGGCTGAAGGTGGTCTTGGTTTGAGAAAACTTGTTGATATTCAGTCTGCCTCTAGAGTTGTTCTTACTTGGGATTTCTTGATAAGTAAAGATCGACTTTGGGTGTCTTGGTTCAGATTTAAATATACGCCTTCATCAAGTTACTGGAATGTCATTCCTAAAATCACTCATTCTGTCATTTGGAGAGCTATGGTGGAAATGAGAGATATTATGTTATAACATGTTAATTTCTGTGTTGGGAATGGTTTGATATTTCATATGCAAGATCCATGGTGTCATGGTATGACCATTTCTCAAAGATTTGGTCACCGGATTTTAAGGTCTCTAAATATCTCCAGATCTGATACTTTGAGTATTTTGTTGAGGAATGGTACTTGGGACTGGCAGCGTTTTCAGGGGCCTGGATTACAACAAGTTAGATCTTTTTTGAATGCAGTGCCTATTCATGATTCCATTGATAAGTTCATGTGGGATAAGGGTAAATTTTCGTTCAAGAGAGCTTGGCAAGTCTGTAAAAATCATGTGGAGGAAGTTGAGTGGTATAGTCTTTGCCGGGGCAAAGCTCGACCTAGATGGTCTGTCATTGCTGTTTTTATTCTTCTAAACAAAGTGCTGTCCATGGTTAATCTTCAGAGAAGAAAGGTTTGCTTGGTGCCGAGATGTACCCTTTGTCACGCTGCTATGGATTCCACTGACCATATTTTTATAAAATGTAGCTTTGCTAAACATTTTTAGAGTTGGTTAATGGAGCTGCTTCAATAGAATTTACTTCAGTTTGATACTGTTGCAAGTACTGATGATCTTTTTAATTGGTTTAAAACAAATTCTTCTATGGGATTTCATAAGACTCTGTTTGCAGCGTCTCTTTGGGGTATTTGGCATGAGAGGAATGCTAGGCTTTATGGCCATGATACTGAGCCGGAAGTTGTTGCTAGGAATTTATTGTTAGAAGTGTTGGATATACACAATACTTCTATTACTGAACTTACTTGTTAAATTCTATATATTTTTCTTTCAGCTGAGGTTTTGAGTTTGTCTCTTTGTCCTTAGCTTTTGTTTTGTTCTGGCTTAGGGTTTGGATGCTTGTATCCTTACTCTTTTAGGTGCTTTTCCATTTCTGGGGGAATGCCCTCTGTGCTCCTGTACATATTTTTCTTTTCTTTTTATACAACCATAATTATGAAAAAAAAAAAAAAAAAAATCAAACATGAAAATCAATCTATCACCCACCAAGTAATATAAATATAATTATTTATTTAAATATTTATTAAGTAAAAAAATTAATTATTTTTTTTATTAGTATAGAACTTAATTAATTTATAATCAATATATTAAAATTACATGAGTTTGATATATGTTCTTAATGTTTTATTTTATTTTATTTATTTATTTTTTTTTTTGGTCATGGGTTTGTTTTACTATAAAATGAAGAGTGTATGATGTATTGGTCAAGTATTTGGAATGCATTGATCAAGTATTTGAAATATGTCAATCAAGTGTCCAATATGTGTCAGCCAAGTTTTCGAAATAACAAAAATTATTTTTAAATTAAACACGGTCATGAAGTATTGACACGTGTATAAGAGTGCCTGCAGGCACGGACCCATGAAGGGCCTAGTGGGGGCAGCTGCCCCCATTGAATTTTTTTACTTACAAAATTACCTATAAATGTCGTAAATTTTTAAAAAATATCCTTCCTGTTTTGTAAAATTTTTAAATATGTCCTCACTCAATTTCTAATGATATCTCACCATGATGGACGGATCTAAGAAGTTGTGGGAGAAAGGCAAAAGTGAATTTAGAATAATATTTTTGTTATTTTAGAGGGGCAAAGTGAAAATTTTATAGCTATATAATTAAAAATAAGAAAATTTAGTGATATATAACAGTAAAAAAACAAAAAAAAAAAAAAAAAATCAGTGGGGGCAATTACCCGCACTGACTTCAATATGCCTCCGTCCCTGCCCACTATACAATTGTTGCTCAAACCTGCTATCTCTCATAGAAATCTCATCCGTCACTGAGTATCGGACAACTGCACAGAAATGTCCGTACTTTTTAGAATCCAACCTAATTCCAAGTTTCTATGCCTAACTCAACTCAATTAACTTAATATTATTTAATTATGTTTTTGTGTGTTATTTTCAATTTACCCAAAAATAAAATAACATAGTAAGAAAGAGGGGAATGAAAGAGATCAGGAAGAAAGAGAGGAAGTGTCGGCAGCTAGGTACTAAAATAAAAAATAAAAAAAAATTAAGAGATTATAGTAGAGAAATAGGCCTAATGATATGAACAAGATTAATTTTTTATAAATTAATTGAATTAAATAATCAGGATAAATATGATATTTGAAATTACAGGACTGTCATTGTTAAAAAATTGTTGACTCACATTTAAGTGACATTGACCAAAACATCACGTGTGCGATTGCAATTTACCCTAAATATATAAAGGAAGGTGATATTCGCACTCTACTTTTCTATAGTAGCACTCCAATTTATTTATTTATTTTTTAAGTAAATGACAAAAATATCCCTAAACTAATTAATGCATCATTATTTATTTTATTATACCATAACTATCATTTTCACTATAAATTTTTATTTTTATTTTTTCTTCTTTACTTACTCTAATACGTTTTTTTTTTATTTTTTATTTTTAGTTTTATAATTGATTACCTTTTTGTAAAGAGTCAAAAAACTACTAACAATAACCCATCACAAACCTCTCTCGCCCCTCTACCCTATATGCAGAATCTTCTTTCTATTCATGTATTGTATGTAAAATCTATGCGAACTCCTCTGCCACAACCTTCCCTCTCTTCCTTCTTTTGTTCCCACACTCGTGATTTTTGGTTTCATCCCTTATTTATTTAATTGAATTTTTTAAGGAGATAATGCTCAATCGCGGATCCAAGGGAGGGCTGGGCTGGGCTCCAACCCCACCCTAAATTATTTTTAATACTTAATAAATTTAGCCCAGCCCACTCAAAAAAAAAATTATTATTAACATTAGTCCACCCAAATAAGCCCAAATCAATTAAGCCACAGTACTAAAATAAAGGTCCAAGCCAAACTGCCCAAGCCAAACAAGCCCTAATACATGAACCAATGCTATCTGCTAGCCCTAATATCATTCGAGAACTGCAATTCGCAGACGACTCAGTTCTCTGTTCTCATCTCCACAACTCCACCAGGACCACTGGTCTACCACTCACTCCTCTGGCCTCTGGGTTCCGAGTCGCCGCCGAGATCCGCCCTTGGTACGAGTTGAAGCCTTGATTTCAAAGGCCGTTCTCGGTCTCTACTGAATTGATTTCTAAGGCCTTCAGTGCATCATTAAGGTTAGTGGACTCAAAACTGAATTGATTTCTAATTCTGACAGACTTGGTAGTTGGTAAAGTTAGGTTTTTGATCATTATTCATTAGTCATTACGATTTACCAGTTTGGGAAATTGGGAATGGAACGAAGCCCTTGTAATTTCCGAGTCGCCGCCGTTCACGATTCTATGTTTGATGTGATTTTTTTTTGTTTTGTTTTTTCTATTTTTAAAAGTCAAATGTATACTAAAGTAACTAAACTGATCTATCAAGAGTCTGCAGAGATTGAGTCTGAAACAATTTTTATCAACATGCCAAGCTTTTTGAAGATGGAAATCTTTTCAGAACTAAAAAAAAAAATTGAACTTGGACAGGCAAAAGTACTTAATATAGGGTAAAGCTCTAAAGTTACTTCATGAAAATTAAAATACTTACAAAAAGCATGTTTTTGAGTGAATTCCATAGCGTTGGAAGGGGCTTGCCATGAACTTCCTCACACTCTGCTTCCACTAGTAGATTCTCAAATAGAATTAGTAAATTGGTCAAAAGAAGAGAGAGGGTACTGAGTGGTGAATTGTTCAGAAATAAATTGGTAATTTTTTTTAGTAATTACCCAAATAGGATTTTCTATGCCTTAATCAGTCAATTGTCTAAAGAAATATTGTTAATTAACTAAAATTGAATTAAACAACAGTTGATTTTGGTTGATATATTTTGATTTAGCCCACCCCATTGAGAAATACTGGATCCGCCCTTGATAATGGTTTCCTTGGATATGGCCTAAAGTAAATTTTCTATTTTTTTTTGGCTCTCAAATGCAAACCCACAATACAATTACTCAGGGTTTTAGTTTTAAATATTTCCCCACTTCCAATTTTTTATGCACTATTCTTTCAATTTTCACCCATAATTACCCATTTGAATGGCAATTCCTATAAGAATATTCTTTGAATTGAGTTTGCTTTTATGCCGCATAAAGAATGTTCAAAGTATAATCAAACATATTAATAAAGAATATTGATGTATGAAAAATAAAAATAAAAAGGAAAAAGGAAAAAAAGATAAAACAGAGAGCCCAAAGAGAGTTTTAGGTGGCAACATTTAGAGTCGGCAAATGGACCTAAAATCTTAATTGGGGGAGAGAGACAAAGATATATTTCTATATCTGAAAGGGTAATTGTGGTATTTAAAAATAATAATTATTTATTTATAAAAGTAAGGATAATAGTGTTATCTTTTTTTTTAAGAATGTAGTGCAACTGTTGAAATGTGGAGTGCCAATATATTCGCTCCCTATATATTAATGACAATAGGAGGAAAAATAACACACTTTGGTGACTATTGCAGAACATAGCTAGCTGCCACGTTCCTCGCTTCCTCCACAAGTATATTTATGATTGCTTCGACGGGTAGAAAGTCTACTATCCCAACCCAAAAAAATTTCAATGTATTAAGATGCATTTTTTTAATCAAAATGAATCACAAAAATCTATACTCAATCTATAGAAGTTGTTCATACATTGCTGCATTGGTCCCTAACTCCGTTCATGCAAACATTACAAAACCATTTGGATTTTTCCCTAACACCGAGGAGGCTTTAGCAAGTAAACTTGCATCAATCTTGCAAGCCTGTCCAGACCATTTTGTGCTTCAACAAGGCCAACAACTTCACGCCCAGATCATTGTCAATGGAATTGGCTTCACAAGTTCTCTGGGCACAAAGATTTTGGGTATGTATGTTCTTTCCCGCAGTTTCTTGGACGCCAGGAAAATGTTTCATCAGATTGAATTGTGGTATGCTTCGCCTTGGAATTGGATGATTAGAGCCTTTACTCTGATGGGTCGCTTTGATTTTGCATTGTTGTTTTACTTTAAGATGTTGTGTTTTGGCACTTGTCCTGATAAATATACTTTTCCATATGTAATTAAGGTCTGTGGTGCTCTGAATGCTGTGCATTTGGGAAAATCGATTCACAGAACAATTCAGTTAATGGGTTTTGAGATGGATGTGTTTGTGGGTAGTGCTCTGATTAAATTTTATGCTGACAGTGGTTGTATTGATGACGCACGCCACTTGTTTGACAAGTTGACTCAGAGAGATAGTGTTCTGTGGAATGTGATGCTTAGTGGTTATGTGAAAAATAGGGACTCAGATAATGTTATTGGGTTGTTTAGGGAGATGAGAGACACTGAAATTAGGCCCAATTCGGTAACATATGCATCTGTATTGTCTGTGTGTGCGTCGGAAGCATTGATTAATTTCGGTACTCAGCTTCATGGGCTTGTTACTATATGTGGATTGGAGATGGATTCTCCAGTGGCTAACACATTGGTTGCAATGTATTCTAAATGCCGTCGCTTGTCTGATGCTCGTAAGTTGTTCGAGACAATGCCAAAGGTCGATTTAGTGCCTTGGAATGGGATGATTGGCGGGTATGTCCAAAATGGGCTTATGTGTCAGGCTTCAGATTTGTTTTGTGAGATGATCTCTGCTGGTAACAAACCGGACTCTATCACCTTTGCAAGTTTTCTTCCATCAATAGCTGAATCCGCAAGTTTAAATAAAGGTAAGGAGGTTCACGGTTATATTGTAAGACATGGCGTTACTTTGGATGTGTTTTTGAAGAGTGCACTTATTGATATATACTTCAAGTGCAGGAACGTAGAGATGGCTCGCAACGTTTTCAACCAGAGTACTGCAACAGATGTTGTCATTTGCACCACAATGATTTCAGGGTATGTCCTCAATGGGATGAATATTGATGCTTTAGGAATTTTCCGGTGGATGCTTCACGAGCAAATGACGCCCAATGCAGTAACACTGGCAAGTACTTTACCGGCTTTTGCTGCTTTGGCTGCTCTGAATTTGGGTAAGGAATTGCATGGTTACATCCTCAAGAATGGGCTTGTAGGAAGGTGTTATGTGGCAAGCGCAATGACAGATATGTATGCAAAATGTGGAAGATTGGATATTGCTTGTCAAATTTTCAGAATGATGTCAGATAGAGACTCTGTTTGTTGGAACTCAATGATCACAAACTATTCTCAGAATGGAAAACCAGAAGAGGCCATTGATCTTTTCCGCCAAATGGGTATGGAAGGAGCCAAGTATGACTGTGTCAGCGTGTCAGCTGCTCTTTCTGCTTGTGCAAATTTACCAGCACTCAATTATGGGAAAGAGATCCATGGTTTTATGATGAGAGGTGCGATAAGCTCTGATCTCTTTGCTGAGAGTGCACTAATAGACATGTACGCTAAATGTGGAAACTTGGACTTAGCATGTCGTGTGTTTGACAGGATGCAAGAAAAGACCGAGGTTTCGTGGAATAGCATCATTTCTGCTTACGGGAATCACGGCCGCTTGAAGGAGTCTCTGACCTTATTTCATAAAATGATGGAAGAAGGGTTTCAGCCTGACCATGTCACTTTTCTTGCCGTAATATCTGCTTGTGGCCATGCAGGTCAAGTAGATGAAGGAAATCACTACTACCGTCGCATGACCAAAGAATATGATATTGCAGCTCGGATGGAACATTATGCGTGTATGGTTGATTTGTTTGGGCGAGCAGGTCGTTTAAATGAAGCATTTGAAATCATAAAGAGCATGCCATTTGATCCGGATGCAGGTGTGTGGGGGACACTACTTGGAGCTTCTCGGGTCCATGGCAATGTCAAGCTTGCGGAACTGGCATCAAGGCATCTTTTTGACTTGGACCCACAGAATTCTGGCTACTATATACTGCTATCAAATGTTCATGCTGATGCTGGTAAATGGGAGAGTGTTCTTAAAGTACGAAGCATGATGAAAGAAAGAGGAGTACAAAAGATACCTGGTTACAGCTGGATTGAGGTGGACAACTGTACCCATACGTTTGTTGCTGCAGACACAAGTCACCCACAGTCTTCTCAGATCTATCTATTATTGAAAAATCTTCTTCTTGAGCTGAAAAAAGAGGGATATGTTCCACAAGTTTACCTTCCAATGCACCCACAGACCATTGGGGTATGATTCTGAGCGACAATTGATCATTGAGGATTCTGTTCTCTTCTTAGATTCTTTTGCTGAAGAAATTAGTGCAGGTTTGTTCGGTTATTGGATGATTGTTAATTTTTGTAATATTTTTAATCTTTAATAATTTTCACCTGAACTTATAATGCTCTCGATATGCAGTGATGACTGATGTGGAGAAAAGAAGCATGTTTGCAGAATTATGCCACTTGGACGGTCTGCTTACACTCATCGAGTATTTTCTTATAGAACAAAGAGTTCTTGTATATAGCGATGTAGATTCTGATTTATCAGTTGTTTGTAATTCAAAAGTCGTCATCCTTCTGAATGGTACGGATATAGACTTGTCATCTGAAACAGCTTCGACTCACCAGTTGGTTGCTGGGGGCATTGTATTAGTTTCAATATGTGCAGTTGACCACATAGGTTTTATATGTGAAGCTTCATACAACATTTCGAGGATGCAGAAGTTTGATTCTTCATTGATGCTGACTGTTCTTCACGTTTTTGCTCATATCTGTGGATCTAAGTATTTTAGTCTTGAAAAATACAGTTTATTGATGACTGTGTTGAAATCTTAGTTATGTTTTTTGAGAGAGCAACTTTATTGAGTGATTCTGCTTGTGGTCTTCCATCTCTTACGGAGGTCCGGGCTGGATTTCCTTCTTGTACCAAATGCCCTTTTTTCTGAGGGTGCAGTTTCCATGGATGTTGTTTCACTGCTCTTGGAAAAGCTTCAGAACTTCATCTTTTCCGGTGCCATGCATCAAGATCTGATAAAATCAGTCAATTCTTCAAAATCTGAAGCTGTTTCCATCGAGGAGAAAGCCGGACAAAATTCCGGTCATGAAGAAGTCCATTCTGACCTTTATATGAACTGCGACTTATGCTGTTGTCTAAATAAATCTGGGATGCTCACTACTCAAATCAAATTCTGTCTTTGGTGAGACTTTGTGCCACTTGAGTGATATCCTATCCCTAGTTGAGCTGGTAGCATGCAAGATGGTACGAAATTCAACTTTTCTGGGTGTACATTATGCTGTGTCTTGTTTCATTCTGATTAGCAGTTATTATGTTGGGTAAATGCGCATTGGATGATGCCTTTTCTGACTTGATTTGGCGGCCCTGTAATCAGGGTGTTATTTTCCAATGAAAATTTCCCGAAATTGGATTTTATTTTTAAATTCGAAGTTTTCCTGGGAATTTTATAACTTTTTTGGTGTTCCTGGATTTAAAACATTGAGTTGGATTTTGAGTCTCACAGGGAAAGCAAGGTGAAAAATGAAATGCTTGGGAGCTGTAACTTGTAAAAGTTAATTAAAATGATTTATTTCACTTCAAGGAAAAATATATTTAATGTATGGCAAAATATAAGATATAGTGGGTCATTAGGTGAAGAATTAATATAGGATCAATCCTCATATTACAAATTGGCCTTTTCACAAGTATTATTTTCAATAGCGACTGCAACTCTATAATTTGGTTCTTATTTTCATTTTGTGTTCTTGTACAACGTATTCTAGGAGAATTATTCTGACCAATTACCTACTTTTTTCTCTTTCTTGCCATGCAGAGCTGGGATTGGACATGCAACAACATCGTTTTTCCGCTGTTAAAAAAGTTGGAATCATGCATCCCAGAAAATTATTTAGCTGCTATTTTAATTCTTCTTGGTCATCTGGGAAGGTAAAAGATTGGTTATTGCTTTATTGAAATATAATAAATGAATGATATTGTTTGTCCTGAAATAATTTATTCCCTCCTTCACAAATTAATTTTGTTATGGCTTTATTGCAATATAAACTTGGCATTCTAGTTTGGGGCATATATCTTAAATAATTTATTCTCTTCTTCACAAATTATTATTATTTTTATATTTTTATTTTTTATTTTTGGGAATTCCAACTTTTTAAGGGCATATGAGTTTAATGTATTTATCAAAAAAAAGAAAAGAAAAGGGATATGCGTTTAATGCATTGTCTCTTTCCAATTCCAAGTTAATTCATTGAAATTAAAAAATTATATTATTAATGTGGGAAAGTTTTCAGAACCTAAGCATAATTTAACAATTATTTGTGCATTGATTTTTAAGAAGGGAAACTGTGAAGAGGCACTCATTTGGTGATGGGTTGGTAATGGTTCTATGTACTTTGTTATTATGTCTTATTTAGGATTTTTCCCACAAAATGTGATTGATCTTATGCGGGATTCATTTACTAAGGTGATTCATAAAAAAATATAGAGCGCACTGAAAAAGGACCTGCTCAGTGTATTTGTTTACTGATGAAAAGCATAGGATGTGGTCCTTAGCGATGTAAGAATGTGTGTATCAACTAGGTATAGTTGATTTAAATCAAGAACACGTGTTGTGGAGATGTAACTAGTTGAGAATTGTGGGAGGAGAGAATCAGTGAAATTTCTAATAATAGTAGGCTTCCATCAAGAATCTGAGTTGAGTATTTATGCTTTTGCATTATTTATTGATGGGCTTAGTAGGCATGGGTATGTTGTTAGCTGGTGACATAGTTTTAATTGGTGAATCTAGTGGGGAAATTATTTCTAAGTTAAATATGGGAACTTCATTTTGGAAAGGTTTTGCCATGTCCGGTATAGTCCAACTTATGCAACAACATAGAAGAGTGATTTGGTCCAAGCAGAATGTATAGTCCAACTTATGCAACAACATAGAAGAGTGATTTGGTCCAAGCAAAAGGTGCCAAAAAAGTCATGCGGAAGGCCAAAAAGATCGTTGATAAGGTTGTGAGAAAGGACATGATTGTTTTCGATTTAATTGAGATTACGTCTTTACAAAGGTCAATTGGGGATGGCCTATCCATGCCACTGACCTAAACAGTTAGGATTATTGCTTGTTGAGCAGAGCGATAGTGGGGCTTATGTATTAGGAAAGTTGGGTGGTTGTGAGGTTTAAGAATCATAATTACTTGCTTTTGACAAAGAATAATTAAATCCAATTATTAGTAGACTAATTACCCTCATGGTGGTTTGGGTGGATGATTACCCACCCAAGTAACAAAATATCTATCTTGCTTCAATTTTTTTTTATACTTTTCCTATAACGTCCCTTTCGGGTGGTTGTTCTATTAGGTATCTAAGCATCTTCCTTGTGACTTCAATTGTTTGGGCAGGGTGTTGTTCTCAATACTTTGGATCTTTGAGAAGATCAAAGCTGCTACATGGCTTAATGATAGAAGAAAATCAAAAATTTGGGAAGATTTTAGCAAGCTTATCAAATTTGTAATATATTAGAAATCTAGTACCGTGTATGTGTCCCACCTATGTTTGCTTTTTGGAGGTGAAAACTAGAGAGAGCGCTGACATTTGGCTTAATTTCTGTGATGTTGTGGTCCGAATTTGGTGCCGGGTCACATTTCAACCCGCTTTTGACCTGTTGGATGAGCTTTGTGTGGGCCCAAGCCCATCAAAGCTTTGGTGGTTCAAGGGCTTGCCCCGAGGAAAAATTTGACCTTTTTTTGCTTGTGGGTCGTGGACCCTAATTAGTATTCTCTTGTAGCCCGATATATGAGGGCGTTTAGAGTTTGGAGTGGGTAGAGAGAGACATTAAAAATCATACAGATAGAGAGTGAGAGGCTGAAACTTGTAATCTCCGATTTTACACAATGAAGACTTTCGCCGGATCTCCACCGTGGACGTAGGCTCTGCCGAACCACGTATAAATCCTTGTGTTCTTAGTGTGTGGTGTGTTTACTTTTTTGCCATGTTTCGTGATTGTTGCTTGGGTTCGCTGCGTTTGTCATAACAGTTTTGTACAAACTGGCTGCTTTAAGACTTATATACAGTTATACCCATCCTCATGTTTATCACTTATCAGGCAACGCCGGAATTATTTGGTTGTATCCTTGATGATTTTGTTTAAAATGCAATATTTATTTAGAAAAGAAATGAACTATAGCCTAGTGTAAATTATTGAGATTCATGGCTTTATACCCAATGTTCCATATTTCAAAGTGATATAAAAGGGCAAAAAGGAAAACATAAAAAAAGAAAAAGAAAAAAGAAAAAAAGAAAGCAAATTGAATTACGCAGAAGTTTAGGTCTTCACGCATCATAAAAAATTGACTTAACATACTCACAGAAAAAAATAAAATAAATAACATCTTGATAAAGATGGAAGGAAATGCTTATGATGAATGGACTTTTTATGTGCCTTTGGAGTATTGGATGGTTGATTTGTATCTTATCAGATTGATGGGTAAATTTTAGATCAAAGTTGTGGACTGTTGTAGAGGGCTAGCAACCATGTTTTCTAGCATAGAATTTTGGAATTTAAGAAAAAGTTTGTTCATAATTGAGTGTAGTTGGAACGATTATCTTGAGTTGGATTATTACGTGGGCGAGATTCAGTTGAGATCTATGTCTGTGTTTAATATAAAGACCAATAAATAAATACGGAGTAATATGGGAAGATGATCCCACTGACCCATCTTCTTTTTAGTTTTAAGAATTACCACATAGATGCACCTGAGGCAGCCAGGAAGGACATGTTGACTTATATTTAATGAAACCATTGTCCTAGAGATGCTGTGGTCCTTGTTACTCAGTTGATTCCCGTCAATTTCAATGAACACAGTGGGGGGCTCAACTCTGATAGAGGTTGTCCATTGAAAAAATATATATATTATCTATGTGGTAGTAGATGGAGCCTATGGAGGAAAATATAGTAAGATCCGTATATTATCTATGTGGTAGTTGATGGAGGAAAATATAGTAAGATCGAGCAAGTTTAGCTGCACTTAAATGGTCTAGGCTATGGTTACAATTTTTTTATGTTCTTTTTGTTTAGCCTTGTCATTTTTACATGTTCCTCTCACTTGCCATCATGTGCTCTATCTTGTGGTTGGGCCAGGTTTTTGTAATTCTCTGGTTTCTGCGAACTTGTGTTATCCAAATGTAAACATAATTATGTTTTTTCTTTGCAGGCTTGGAGTTGATGCTAATGGATATGATGACATTGGAGTTGGAAACCTGAGATCTTGGTTGTCTTCTTTTTTATGTCAGAACTCTACAAGAAAATTGGGTCTTTCCATCCGAATTGCTGCCATAACTGCTTTACTCGGGCTTCTTCCTGTCAATTTTGAAGACCTCATTAAGAGTAATATTGAGTTACCAGCAATTGTCAGTAGATTTCTTCCTGTTGATTGTATAAGGGAGTGGTTTTCTTTGTTGAGCAATGAGCAACAGTCCTTGTTATTTGACCTTCTTCAATCTGCCGGCATGACCAATTGTGGAACTGGATGGTTTACCATGATGTGTGCTCTGGCCCAAGTTTGAATGGGACACTTCGTTGAATCTTGTCTTTTGTATTTAACAAGAATCAGATTAAAGTAGAAGTAATTTTTTTTTATTATTTATGAGATTCACCATTTTTAAGACCATGAAGGGATAAAGAAAAAAGGAACCATGTGGTTTCTAGATCCAATGAGGAATACAAGAGAGAGCCAATCAAAGGCATTTTTGTTTCACCTGTAAGTTCCATTGCAGCAAAATTGTGAAATTTTGAACGTATTTGTATGTCCATCATTGTGGCTTTTACTCGATCTTTGGTGAATATGATTTTTTCCTATAGATTACCTTTATGGTTTTGGTTACAGAAATCTGAGATAATTTAATTTTTTTCAAATTGTCCAAAGAGGAATAGACAATAATGAAGTTTTTCTTTGATCAATTGTCTGTAATACATGTACTGTAAGTGGTTCACTTTGTTATTGTTATCTCAAGTCATGTTTGTTGTGATTAGTCTTTCTATCCTGCATTATCCTTGACAAGTAGCGTCTTACTTTTCTTCTACATAACTGGCTTCTGCAGAGTTTTGAACTTGTTGAAAGCTTTTTTGGTGGCTTGTGTTTTTACATGGCTCATGAGCTGAAAAATACTAATAGAAACATTTGCTTGGAATCGTGCAACTATTTTGATTATGTGATGCAAAGTAACCGTAGTGCTTCTCTGTGCATTGCCTTTTTCTTGATGACCATAAGAAGTGGAATACTTCGTTCATTTATGAAGAAATTGCCTGGATCACTCTTTCTCTTCACTCGTGTCAGTCTCTCATAGTTATTCTTGAAGTAATTTCTACTGAATCTACCCCAAACCCTTGCTTGTGCATAGCTTGTGTTATCCTGCTGGTTTGACGCCCAAGTCCAGATCTCTATAATTGCGATAGGCAGTCCTGGGAGAGTGGGTAACAAATGGCTTCATGTACCTACACAGTTTTTTGATCCAGTGTACATGTTTGTCAGTTGCAGTTACATCATCTACAACCCATTTCACCAAGTGTTGTACGTTGTACGGATTGCCTTTTCTATGTGGAAAAGGGAGCTCGGATTCTGAAATATCATTCATCCTTCCACCAAAGGGATCCATTATTATGATCGCTTTTAGGTACAGTTTTCTGATCCAGTGTACATGTTTGTTAGTTGCATTTACATCATACAACCCATTTCACCAAGTATTGTACGTTGTACAGATTGCATTTTCCATGTGGAAAAGGGAGCTCGGATTCTGAAATATCATTCATCCTTCCACCAAAGGGATCCATTATCATGATCGCTATTTCCTCTTCCAGTTTTTGTGAAATATCATTCATCCTATTTTTGTGATGTGGGCATGTAGTTCTTTACCTTCTGCAAGTGAAAGTATACGAGTACAAGCCTTGAGTACAGAAGGGTAAGTGTAGTTGTCTGGGCAGATAGAGTTTGATGTGATGAAGTTGTTGTAAATGAGAATGGCTTTAATGGGTATGGGGCTTTTAGAGTAGGCTATAAGAATCCAATTCCATGTGGTGGTGGTATGGATGAGACTAGTTGTGATGGTTTTGGCCAGGATTTGGTCAAGTTGTTTGATGTTGTGGGATGATCGTCTGAGAGAAACAAGTATTCTTTATTTTCAAACTATGTACTAATGTTTTCAGAAACTTTTGATAGGGGGAACACCATATATTATCTTCTTCATGGTTGCCATCATAAGCACCCCATGGATGGACTGCGTCTTGTCTTCCCTCCTGCTGCAGCAGCTGTTCTGTGTGTGCCTGTATGATCTGTACCACCATTTTCACCTTATTTCTACCATGTGTATTAACATTTAACATATAAAAAGTATTTTTTATTTTTTATTTTTTATTTTTATTTTTGATATTTAAATTTTTTTTTTTTCTTTTGGGGTGAGACATGAGAAGGACAACTTGCATCTCTATTCACACTGCAATATGTGGCCTAAATTCTTTTTTTTTATGGATTATGTGATAGTCTCCAGCTATCCTTGATCCTTGTGGTCTTCTCACACATTTTGTTATCCTAGTAATCTGTCTACTTAACCACCTCAACTGTCTCTTATCGTGTGCTTATCTTTGATTTTTGACCAAAGAAGAAATGAAATTGAAGAAAGTATTGTGTCAGAAATTTTGTTTTATGGACATATTAAATTTCTTCTTCTTGGATAGAAAACAAGCAACTCCGTGGACATGATTATCAAGAGCTCGTTTCTGTGTGTGTGAGATTTATAGCACATTCAGGTTGTAAATGTGCTAGAACGAACAATATGACACCTTAGAAATTTTGTTTTGGGTGCGTCTGCATGGGTGCATTGCATGTGTGAAAAGGTTTAGTAGTTTAATTTGTTGTCTGATCAACTTGTGAACAATTTGTTGGTAAAGGTAAGACATGAACAGTTCTTAGTGGATAAAAAAATCCTTATCAATTTTTGGTGGATAAATAATGAAGCTATATATCAGCATGTCAGCCAAATCCTTGGAGTGTCAGTATTTATGATGCAGTTGGCAAACTCATCTAGGAACATCTGTGCATGGTACCTGTCAAGTGTCAACATACATTGAGTGGCCTACGAAGTAGGACATAGTAACCTGTTAAAATTTCAGAATTGAACATGGGTTGGACCAGGCCTTTGTTTTCTTTGATATGGTCCTTTTGTCAGTATCAATTCTACGATGCCTGGTTGAGTTGTAATATGCGGATCAAAGTTGGTTTGTTGATGAATTCTTACAATTTTTGCCACCATCAATTCTACAACTCCTGGCTGAGTTGTAGCAAGTGGATCATGGCTAGTTGATGGATGTTTTGGTATATATTTTGACTTTTGAAATACAGTGAACAGGGTCTTATTTTATTTTATTTTATTATTATTATTTTTTTTTTCTGAAAAAAATTGTTAGGTTAGTACAGCCTTAGCTATACACTTGTTTACAAGTGCATCCAACTTTTACACAAACAGAAATCATACTTTTGTATCTTCTTCTTTTTTTATTTATTTTTTTCTCTTTCTGAAAAAGATGTTAGGTTTTGTACGGCCTTAGCTATCCACTCATTTACTAGTGCATCCAACTTTTACACAAACAAGAATCATAATTTTATACTGAATACTGAATAATAACGATGGAACTAGATGAAGTCGATTATACCAAGAATATTGTTGATTGGTTTACCAAAAAAGAAGAATATTGTTAATTGATTCTTCTATTGTTCTGACTTGTTCCAATATGTCACTGCCTGTTCTGGAACTTGATCAAGCTGTTATCTACTCCTTCTATTGCTCCTGCTATGTTTGGTGGTTTTTTGTTGGGTTATGTGATGTCACCCATTACTACTTGCAACATGGACAGCCAACCAGTGAAGTTCCTCGAAATCTTAAGGTAAGAGCTGCACCTGTTGCACACTTGGTATTTAGATTCAAGCTCCATCACTTATTTGCTTTCTACTTTATAACTGGTTAATCAGGTTAAAAACATAGCTCGTCATGTGTAATCTTATTTTTGCAATTAACTATTTTTTTCCCCAGCTATCCAAATGAATTTGAAACTTATGATTCTAGGGTATATCTGTCTAATCAATTTTGGATGTTTATTCGCTTGATCTGTGGCTGACCTTTGGTGTGCATGCATGTATCTGTGTGTGTACATTTTTTCTTGACAAATGCATACTCACTTTGGAGGTCGAGGAGATACCATTGGACTACTGCCAATGCTTCTCCAAGTTGAAGTTAGCAATGTGGAAAGTACATTGTCCAGTGTAATTTTAATTATGAAAATTTAATACAGACTGATTTTTATTTATTTATTTTATATACGAATACATGGAGCATTGGAGCCATAAATATAAGCCAATTAAGCTCTATTTTATTTTTATGACCACTATAATCAGTAACTTTTTGCTTAGATAGTTGACCTAAAAATTATGGATGTACTGAAATTTGAAGCTATATTAATGAATATATAAAAAAGTAATTTGGTAAAATTGGCGTACTCAATTTGAGAGCCTGTCTATCATTATACACAGGAGAAATCTTACAATTATGGAAAGAGAATAAAATCAAATCAGAATAAAGAGAATAAAATTAAATCGGAATAAAAATTAAATCCCTAAACATTAGACTATAATGAAGATTCAATAAATCTGCAACAATCATTGACTCAATTTCTATATATGATTTCCAACACCCCCCTCAAGCTAGAGCAAATATGTTGACGAAGCACAGCTTAACTATGGAAGACTGAAGAAGAGAAGGCCCAACAGGCTTTGTGAATACATTTGCAGTCTGTTCTGAAAAAAGGAACAAAAATAGGATTAATGATACCTGATCGAACCTTCTCTCGAATGAAGTAAATGTCTACCTCAATATGTTTCGACCTTTCATGTAAGACAGAATCGGAAGCAAGCATAATGGATGATTTATTGTCACAAAACAGCCTTAAAGAACCTTTTTTTCAAGACCCAACTCTCCCAAAATTGATTGAAGCCAAAGGAGCTCACAAGTACCTTGAGCCATAGCTCAGTATTCAACTTCAGCTGAGGATCTGGAGACAATAGCTTGCTTCTTACTCTTCTATGATATGAGATGATTATCATAGAAAGTACAGAAGCCAGAGGTAGAATGTCTCTCTATCTTACATCTAGCATAGTTTGCATTAGTAAAACACGAGAGTCCAGACTGATTTTCTGAGGCATAGAACAGACCAAGGCCAGGGCATGACTTAAGATACCTCAAAATATGGTAGACTGCATCCATATGAGCTGAGCGAGGGGTATGCATGAATTGACTAACCACACTAACAACAAATGTCAAATCAGGCCTTGTGTTAGTCAAGTAGATAAGGCGACCTACCAAACACTGATACACAGACGGATACGGAAATAATTCCCCTGACTCAACAGAGAGTTTGAGATTGGGGTTCATAGGAGTAGAAGCGGGTCGACACCTAAGCATGCCAGTATCTTGAAGAAGATCCAAAACATGTTTCCTTCTAGATAAGGAAATTCCACGACGGGATCTAGCAATCTCAATTCTAAGAAAATATCGAAGGGGACCTAAGTCCTTCACATCGAAGGACTTTTGAAGATGAAGTTTCGCTTGAGCAATCCCTGAAGCATCATCACCTGTGATAATGATATTATCCACATATACCAATAACATGATGTATCGACCATCATAGCGATGTCGAATAAAGCAAGTATGGTCTGAGTGGCAGTGCACAAAGCCCATCGATAGAACAACATCGCTGAAACGACTAAACCAAGCTCTAAGAGATTGCTCTAGACCATAAAGAGACTTCCGCAGCGAACAGACTTTC